GAAAAAACCGAATATGCCATCCAAGTCCAACTGAGAAGTAAAAAGGTTTTCATTTCTGAATCCCTTACTGTCCGTCGGCGTCAACTCTACCTCAATGCCAAAGCTTTAATGGGACCTGAAAATACTTGGACCTCAGATGGACGAATATACGTTGCGTTGGCAAAGGATAAGAAGAAGGTAATACGCTCCTTTTCTGGTGTGGAAGGATGTCCTCGTCCTCAGCATCGTCGCGGTGTGACTACTAGAAGTCGTGCAGCGGTTGAGTGATACGTGGAGAAGTCGTCTCGGGTCTGTTAGCTTATTAGTAAATAAGAAGTATATAGATATATATTTTTTCTTTTTTTTTGTTATTCAACTACAAGGAAATTGTTATAGTTATTTTCTTTTCTTTTTTTTCTCTCCATTATTTTATAGTAATGGCCTGGTTTTTCGTTGCATGGCTGGCATTGTTATGTTATTCGGCTGACTAAATTTAGTCATTGGTGTTGCTTATTTCTCTTTTTGTTTTATTTATTTTTTTTGTGTGTTAAGATCAATTGAAGTAAAAATGGATGCTAATGCTGGTTGCTCATCTGATTCTACTTCTCATTCTTTCTATTCTTGTAACTCTTCTCTTGATTCTTCTCTTCTGTCCACTTCTGATTTTGTTCTCGATCATACGTGTGAGGCTGATGTAAACGACTTTAGTACTTATGCTGGAATACCTCCAGCTGATTTGTTTAACGGATTAACAAATTTTATCTCCGTGTGTCATATTAATGTGCAAAGTATTACTGCCCACATTGATGATTTCTTGATCACATTCGAATCTAACATTTTTCTCCGATGGATTCTCCGATGGATCAGTTCAGGGGGCTGAATTCATGCTTGTGGAACTGAAAAGTTTCTACAACAAGTTATTACTTGGCGTTTTTTTATTGTCGTCCTCTTGTTAACTACTTTGATCAATTGGAGGAAACCTTGAGAGTCACTCTTTTAATTATAACACTATTCTCCTGATGGGAGAATTCAATACTTGTCTCCTAAAAAATGAATGACTCAACATAAACTTCGCTTCATTGCTTCCTCATTAAATTTGTCCATCCTGTCCTTACAACCAACTCATCATCTTCCTACATCGCATTCGCTTCTGGATCTTTCTGTTCGGCCGAGTCGTAATCTCATCCGAGCAGCATACTTTCGCATAGTCAGCTCCCTGCTCCTCAATTTTCCAATCACCATCTAATTTACTGTGCAGTGCAGATGGGACAACATATTTCCTCGCAACCCATTATTTCCGTTAGTGACCTGGATCGTATTGATAACGATTTGCTGTTGTGTGATGCGCAAAAGATCGATTGGCTCCCGCTTTATCGAATGGCCGATATTGATGGAAAGGTTGACTACTTCAACTCTAAACTTACCAATCTCTATGACAAGCATGCCCCACTCAGACGACGCAGTGAGACATCCGCCCGCACCCTGGTTAAGTGATGCAATAAGATCATTGATGAGAGAACGTAACCGTGCAAAGCTATTATTTAAACGTATTCCAACTACTATTAATCGTGAAAACTATAGGACCTTGCGTAACCGTTGCAATCACCAATGTAGGAATGCCAAAAAAATTTGGCTTTCCAATGCTAGTCCGAGGACGTTTTGGAGGATTATGCGTTCCTTAGGGGCGGTTGAGTCACCCTCTGTTCGGGCTGCTTTCAATTCATTTTTTGTCGACCCACCTCTGCTCATTAATGGTGAGACTAAGATGACTAGTATTACTGAAATTCTTGCCTCATCTAAATCCTCCTCTTTCTCCTTTGTTCTGGCCACAGCATCAGAAATCCGCGATGCCTTGAATCACTCGAGGTCTACTAGTGTGGGAGCTGATGGAGTTGGTGTCAAACTTCTTCTTCCTATATTGGATATTGTTCTTACTCCTATTACTCACATTTTTAAATTCTCCATTGAACGATCCTCATTCCCTTCAAACTGGAAGGTTGCTATGTTGTCCCTATACCTAAATCCAAGAGTCCTTTAAGTTTAAATGATTTTCGCCCTATTTCCATTTTATCCGTTCTATCCAAAGCTTTCGAGTGCCTTGTTTACTTACAAGTTCAAGAGTATTTACAAGAATTTAATTTGCACAACGAGTTTCAATCGGGTTTTCATAAAGGTTATAGCACGACAACAGCACTTATTAAGATTACAGATGATATTAGGTATGCATGCGACAAACGTTACGTTACCATCGTTGATTTCAGCAAGGCGTTCGATTCGGTTGATCACGAGCTCTTGTTGGCTGCCCTTGGATTTACCTCTTTATGTTTATCTTGGTTTCAATCTTACCTTTCTTGTCGTTCCTTGTGTATGCGTGCTGATTCTGCGCTCTCGCCTGCTTGTGATATTAAATGTGGTGTGCCCAGGGTAGTGTGTTGGATCCGTTACTCTTTTCAATTTTTATTAATGCCGTCACCGACTGCTTTTCTTGTAATTGTGAAGTGTATGCTGATGACCTCCAAATTTACACTACGACAACTATTAATGATTTTCCGGAAGCAATTGCACGTCTTAATCATGATCTTTCTTATATTTTGGATTGGTCTAAACGTTATGGCCTTAAATTAAATTCTGCTAAAAGTCAAACAAATGCGTTTGGCAGTCGACCTTTACTGGCAAAGCTTAATGACTTTTCACCCATTCACTTATTGCTTGACGGTGACATTATTCAGCTGTCAGATACGATTAGAAACGTTGGGGTGGTTATGGATTTGACAATATCCTGGAAACTTTAAATTTAATCCGTCTGCAGAAAGGTCTATCATTGTTTCCACTCGCTAAAAAGTCTCCGTTGCTTCCTTCCTTCCATTGTCCTTCGTAATCTTTGTTATTCTCGGATTTTCCCCCACATAGATTATGCTGACACGGCATATCCTGATCTTTCGGTAACACTCCGAAACAAACTGCAAAGACTTCAAAACAACTGTATACGGTATATCTTTGATCTCTAGAGATCTCAACACATAACTCCATACCGTAATTATTTACAGTTATTAAGCTGTCAGAACCGTAGATCGTTTCGTATATTGACTATGTTATATACTGTTCTTCACAATAAAACACCAGGGTATCTGTAGATCTCAGTTAGATTCTCTGCTTATGTTCCCGACCCATAGTACAAATCGTTTACTGTGCAGGCCATAACCCTTTGGAAAAGTCTGCCCACTGAGATTCGCAATATTCCTCTCATTTAAAAACATCTAAAAAAACATTTAAAAACCATCTAAAACGTCATTTATTTGCTCTCCAAGTATCTTCCTGAGAACTTCTTCTTCCTTTTCTTCTCTTCTTCTTCTTTTACTTCTCTTCTTTTTCTTCTCTTCTTCTTTTATTCTAGCAACTAACATTATGCACCGTTTTAGTGACCATAGGTTTAACATAGTAGCTTGCCATTTATTTATTATTTTTTTAATATATTCAGTATACGGTTGACTGATTGGGTCCTTTGGAAGATATCGCTTACGCGATAAATCGACCCTTTTGCCTATATTTATACATTAAGTAGTTAAAGGTATACATTTTCTTTAATTTGTATTTTGTTTATTATGGTAATAAATTTATTATTATTATTATTATTTAATGTTACACTATATTAATTATAATATAGAGTAACTTGAGGGATAACGATGGATCACCCATTGTCCTGTCATTGTAAATCACGTCGATTTCCCAGGAACGTGCATTTAACGCAGTGTAAGTTGTCGTTGACGTAGATTTGTATGGATTTGCTTTATAATTTCAGATGGAATCTGATGATTAATGTGTGACTCAGTTAGTCTATTTGTTAACTCGTATGCGGACGTAGATTATATGACATATTGAATAATAACTATTGTTAACTAAATGTTACATGATTCCGAAATTACAATAAATTTATATATCGATCACATCTCTGTCTGTTTTAATGAAACTGGATAAGCGATTAACGATTCTACATGTATTAAATTTATAACGCAAACATATTTAAATATTACACGGTGTGCGATTTCGACATTTTCCATTAACGTTAGTCCTTCAGGTATGAAACATTCTGCAACTGCCACTAAATTTCCGCCTTTCACGTTTACACTTCCGTTTTATGCGTTTTCCCGGGATCATAACAATAAAATCGAGTTAGAATTTAAATTAAATATTTCACACAAAAAAATATTGTTTTTTATTTTATAGCGTTGTATTATTACATACAATATTTGTGGTATTGTACTCGCACAAATATTAAGTGGGATACATCGTAACTTCGATTTTAGACCAATTCCATACAAACACTATTTAAATTTGTGTTTTCAATTGATTCAGCTACGTCATACTAAAGTGGCACTACTAAAGCTTTCACGTACTGTATTGTTTCTGAAAATATTACGATTTCAAACGTACAACCGATGGAAAATTGAAAAGTGAAAAATATGTCAGAAAGTTTTAACTCGGTTTTGTTGGAAAGAGAAAAAAGTGAAAATCGAATCAGAGAAGTTTTCGTTCACCTTTAGCTTAATTTTTAATTTCACAGGAAGTGACCGACTTTTAAAAATAAATGACTTTCAAACAAACAAAAAGTTCTTGTTTTGGAACAACACGCGATCTAAAAGTTTTAGGTTGGAATACAAACGTTAAAAAGCTTTTTTTTTCTTTTTGCAGAAACTTAAAGTGTGTAGAAATACACTTCTGAATTATAGAACTTTCAAATGAAAATCTCTTTAAGGTCACAGAGTAAGTCGATGCTTTTGAACATCAAAAATGAAATTACATCATTTCAAAATGAATTAATTAGTAGTTGACTTAAAGCGTGTACGAATGCGAATTAATTTAATTGAATGTTAGAGTTCTAACACACGGTTGAAACCTGGTCGGTCAAAACGATAATTGGAGTGGTCACCACACATCTAACGTTCGTAACGTTAGTTAGGTAGATGGAACTTTGATACAGACTAAATTTCAGTTAGGAGAACGACTGGCAAAAGCCCACTTACCAATTACGGTCAAGTTGACTTTAGAATTCCTTGTTTGGGCGCGGATGAAATCCACCCGGCATCTGTACACTCCTTGGTCAGTTTCCCGGATATGGTCCACACCGAGTTCCGCCGGTTGTTTTTCAGGCATGAAGAACGCTCTATTCGAGAACACATTCTCGTCGGACCAGCGCTCAGCGTGGGTAAATCCTCTGTCACGACCGTCCACACTGAAAGCAAACAATGGAATATGGCCGTTAGTAAATAGTTTGAGGACGTTTCGCTTTGCACATTAGACAGAGAATAGCAAAAGTGTGATGAATGGGTTATACGAAGTTGTAAATTTATTGGGTAACTTCTCCATTAAATTAAATCTCATCTTGAACAAAATTTTTTAAGTGTTACATTTTTAAGGGTACAAATAAAATATTTTTTAAGTGCACTATAAATCGTATTCCCATAATATTGTGTAGTAAAAATACCCTTATCCGTAAAATTACTTTCGCTTCCTGAACGTCTTGTCAAAAACCGATCTAAATCTTTCCTTGTATATACCCCCTCGACTTTATGTTCGTTTATATGGGTTAACCCCCTCGGGTTGGGCTATTGAAAACTTACCTTGACCTTTTTTATTGACCAATCAACTGTGAGTTTAATAAAATATTTTATTAAAAGAAAAAAGTACATATTTAGGCTCTAAAAAATATTTAAATTATCAATAAGGAGGTGGCCCCATTTTTGCAAAATCAAATTCTTAAGATATAGTTTTGAATTATTAGGACTTTATAGAGAAAAGTATATACTTTTTTTTGTTCTTGGATACCTTTATTTGTTCATAAGGTAATAATTTTGTCTTTATTATATTAATTATGTTTTCAATCAAATTGTGTTGAATTGTTGGGAGTTCTTCATGGTCAAAAGAAAAATTAGTTAACTCGAATATTGATCAAACCGATCATAGACTCCATCTGGAGTAGCTGATGTGTGGATTGAGTAACTCAACAGTTATCAATACCAGTACCAAGCCCGAATAAAGGAGGAGAGCTTGTGGATAGAGCCAGCAATCCGTCCACTGTAAAATCCAACTGATACTCAACAAACTGTTAATCGGGCCTCGGCACACATCTAATAGAAGCATGATACTGCGAGAAAAAGGGAAAAAAAGAAAAGAAAAAATATACTTGATTAGTGTATAAAACCCGATATATGTAAGAATTACAAATACACACTGAACAGATCACTAAAAAAAGGAAAAGTATTAGTAGTATTAGGTTGATTAGATGTTGTAGGGACATTGTTGCATTCGATTGAAACAATTTCATTTTGTATCATACATGAATACCTTGTGCATCATAATTAAGATTTTCTTTTCTCATATTGAATTCAAAAACTCCAAAAGCATGGTTATGTCCTGCTAATTACATATGTTAATGTTATATTGCGTCTTTGCGAGATTATTATTTTGGGACAAACATTTGTCTAAAAAGGAGCCTAAGGAGAGTTAAAAGCAAAACATGACGCTGTATCCTGAGAGTCATTTAGCCTCTCATACTCAATCCCGACTCTCACCTCCAAATAGTTGACCCCATATAACAATTATATGAAAGATATACGAAACACAAAAACTCATGTAATATGTAAAGTGGACACGAAAGAGAAAATAGAGAACTTGGCACAGCATTTATCGTGGACAGCACTCTTTAATTTAATCATAATCAATATATGTACACTGCCATACAGAAGAGCAAAATACAGAAATGAAAAAGAATTGTTACCAATACTTGGAAAAAGTATGACAAGACACCAAGACATGATATCAGGCTCATAATGGACGACATGAATGCCAAGATCGGAAAAGACAGCACTTCATGGGTACTATAGGAGAACACTCTCTGCACAGAGGAGACTAATGAAAACGGGAATGTCTGATAAACTTTGCAAACAGTAAAAATATGACCTGAAGTTCCACACAACTCCCACATAGGGATATACATAAGCTACGTGGATCTCATATGATGGAAGTACAGTCAATCAAATAGATTACGATCTGATAGACAGAAGGAAAGCAACGTAAAGACACAAAGGGAAGTCTATGGCTCAGATTATTTGTCAGTGCAGACAAATTTCAGGAGCAGAATAAGCAACAAGAGGAAGAAACAGCGGCAACGACAACTAATTAACAAAGATAAACAAATTGAATATAGAAAAATGCAAATTCCTAGACGCACAACCAGTAAAAGAACAGTGGCACAACATTAAAATAGCAGTAACGGGTACTGGAGAAGAAATATTAGGAAAGCAAGAAAGACGGCAATATAGTTTGATGATAAGTGTGAGAAAAGATGAGAAACAATGCACATAGGAGCATGGGAATGTGGCACGGAGAACAAAGGAAAGGCGAATAGATTTCGAAGCAGTGAGGCGAAGAATTTATCCCATCCAAATTATATAAGTTAGGTGGCTACAGAATAGACTGAAGTGGTGATAATGAAGACCAGAAAATGTGACAGAGAAGCGAGTATAAGAGAAAAAGGACATATGGTCGAATCCAAAAAGTCGCTGAAGTGTCTAGGCGTTATGATAGGTAGGACCTATGGACTTAGGACCGAAAAAAGAAAACTAATAAATAAACTAGTATTCAAAGAAGAATTTTGATCGGAATAACAATTCTACGAAAACATGAGAGAGTGATTCCGGAGAAGGAAAAGTTTTTAGAAAAAAAAAGGATGGGTTGGGCAAAAAAAACACACATTCACGTGTTGATAAGTAATGTATTGAAGGAAGAGCAAATACCAAGCAAGCGTATACATAATGAACTAACAAATCTGTTTACAATAACACGTAGACTGAAACTCCCGCTTCCTATTTACTAGTCTCAACTTTATTTAAACTAACACTTGAATTCATAATAAAACAATTGGACTTCGGATGAGAAGTTTTTCTGACCAACAAAACAGTAAGTGTGGCTGCATATACAGACGATGTGAACATTATGAGTCGTATGAAACCAGGAGATATGCATACTCTTAACTGAAGGGACATGCCAAGGGGATGGAGTCGGAGGTAAACAGAGGAAAGAAAGGTAAAAACACAAACAGAGACACTCAATCTCAAACAAACACAGAATATCATCATGGAGGATGACATTGAGAAGGCCAAACAGTTGTCATATTTGGAGGTCATGCTATGCAGGGATGGCACGGAAGATATAGAAATAAATAAAAGAACAACACAAGCAAATGGAGCATACTTCACACTAGCCCATATTTTCAGATCATAACGACACACAAAGATATGAATATATAAAACAATCATTAGACTATCAGGTACATCAGCGAGATATATCAGCTTTTTAAAGATGTAACGAAATTAATCAGAATACAAACGCTGAAGTGGGCATGTAGACATGTAGTGAGAATGGGACAAGGGATGGAGACCAGTGGAAAAGCTCACTGCTTCTAGCATTCATAAAACAATTTATTAAATATTGCGGCAGTAACCCACACCCTCTTATTGGTACTCAAGGAAGGTGTTTAATCATTATTCCTTTAACGTAAGGACTGATCGTAATGTGATCTCCTGAAACAATCAGGAGTATATGAATAGTTGTAGAATGCAACAATTTTAGCAAATTTTGTTTTATACTGTTGCGCTGCATACAATAAGCGTCATAACTAATTTATAATTAATTTTTATTAATTAATATCATAGCAACTAATTAACCAATATTTGATTACGATTATCAAATATTATGATGTAATTCGTATTTTTCGGTCTATCAGAAAATGTTATAATGTAGAGTGTATAGGGTTAACTTGAACTCACCGATTTGTTAACTTAACTAACTTAATCCGTTAGTCACATGCAATTAAAAAATAATATCAATATTCTTTAAATAAAAAACATTTAAATCAATAATGCTCATGAATTGTACATGAAATCCTGAATTCGGTGAATATTATACATCCACCGATCCAGTGTTTGTCAGATTTTGCCTAAACCATACACGTGTCACTGTCAGTTGGTGCACGGTCAATATTGTATTCAAACATACGATCGTAGGCTTTAATCTGGTATAAGGGTGAAGATGAGAACTCGCAATGCGATATTTAGTATAAATAAACAAATTAATTCTCCTTAAAACTAACTAAATGTTCTAACATAAAAATAACCTTATGCTAACTGCACTGAAAAAATATTCTTGAACGAAGATTATTACTCTTGGTTGAAGCTTATCATATTTTTGTATATCCACAAGAAAATCATTTTATTGAGCGAAGAAAAACCACATAGTCTGAAAGCAAGCACACAAATATTCTTGATTCTAAAGAAAACTAATTCTTAGTTAAAGTTGCGTCAACGATCCTATTTTCATATCGAGAATAGATTTCTTAAGTGAAGAATAACGTATCTTTCTATTATGAAAAACTTATTCATGTAACAACAGTCTTGTATAATTCATCATTTGAGTATTATAAATTATTGACGCAAGAACGAATTTTTTGATACAAAAAATTGACATTCTTCGATGGTAAGAATATATTTTAAGAGTATTTTATACTTGTTTCAAAGAATTATATTCAAGAATAAAGTTTTCTTAAATGTCAAGAATAATTTCCCTCAGTGTGTAATAAATTGGCAGAATAATTGCGTCGCGACCGTAGGAGAGATATTAAATCCAGTTTAGAGACGGAGAAAATCCATATTTCTGAAAAGTCTATATTAGGAAGTCGCTAAATCTGTTGCTAATTAAGCTATAATTAACTGATACTGCTACCGAAAGAACTCTAAAGTGGATATTTCGAAGAACTCATCGTTCCGGTAATTATACGTCTTATTCTCCATACGTTGTTAGCATGATGCATGTTAACGCGATGCAAGGCAGGATGATACATGAATATAAAATGCAAATTCCTTTGTTAAAGTCGTTCGGTGACACAAGCCAATTTAACTTTTCCGTAAGTAATTTCTGTCATAAATTTCAGAGAACTAATGGTAATGACATTGTAATTTCTTTATAGGTCAAAATTAATTATGAATATCTCAATTAGTAACCTGCTTAAGATCTTTTTTTATGCTTAAGCTTAAGATCGCTTTTATTTTTTTTACTGGACAGATTGCTTAAATACCTGAATGTATTGATAAAGGTGATGTAACTATTAATTATGTATACTTAAAAATTTCAGATTCGTGATTATTGAGTGAAGATTAAATAACACCGACAGATGGA